GTTAGGGGCCTTGGGGTCGACCTCTGTCCCCCTGCCAATACAGACTGCGTACGGTCGGTGAGGAAGGAGGAGAACCACCGCATAACAGTGCCTCCCACTCCCAACTCCCCCAGACGCCGCAGCATGATACCGTGGTCCACGGTATCAAAAGCCGCTGAGAGGTCCAAAAGAACTAGGACAGAGGAATGACCCCTGTCCCGGGCCCTCCAGAGATCATTTTAGTATGCTGTTTAGATTTGCCATAGCTTTTCTCCTCAGGAGCAAGTGTCTTTTAATTTCTTGGCTGCAGTCCCCATCTGAGGTGATCTTGGAGCCCAGGAAAATAAAATCTGTCACTACCTCCATTTCTTCCCCATCTATTTGCCAGGAATTGAGAGGGCTAGATGCCATGATCTTGGTTTTCTTAATGTTGAGTTTCAAGCCAACTTTTGCACTCTCCTTCTTCACCCGCATCAAGAGGCTCTTTAGTTCCTCTTCACTTTCTGCCATTAGAGTGGTATGATCTGCATATTTTAGGTTGTTGATATTTCTCCTGGCAACCTTAATTCCAACTTTTTGTTGTATTTTCTTGACAAAATTCTATCACCCTGTGCCCTGCTTCATTTTGTACTGCAAGGCCAAACTTGCCTGTTATTCCAGTTATCTTTTGGCTTCCTACTTTAGCATTCCAATCCCCCATGCTGATAAGGACATCATTTTTTGGTGTTGATTCTATAAGGTGCTGTAGGGCTTCATAGAACCGGTCAATTTCATCCTCTTCAGCACCAGTGATTGGGAGAGAGACTTGGACTACTGTGATGTTGAATGGTTTGCCTTGGATTCACACTGAGATCATTCTTTCACTTTAGGGATTGTATCCCAGTATTGCTTTTCCTACTCTTTTATTGACTATGAAGATTACTCCATTTCTTCTGAGGGATTCTTGACCGCAGTGGTATACCTGATGGTCCTCTGAATTAAATTCACCCATTCTTGTCCATTTTAGTTCGCTGATTCCGAAGACGTCGATGTTCAGTCTTGCCATCTCTTGTTTGACCATGTCCAGCTTGCCTTGATTCATGGATCTTACATTCCAGGTTCCTATGGAGAAAAGATCTTTACAGCATCGGACTTTCCTTTCACTACCAGATGCATCCAAAGCTGAGCATCCTTTCGGCTTTGTCCCAGTCGCTTCACTCTTTCTGGCGCTACTAGTACTAGCCCTCTGCTCTTCCCCAGTAGCTTATTGGACACCTTCCAACCTGAGGGGCTCATCTTCCAGCGTCATATCTTTTTGCCTTTTGTTACTGTCCATGGGGTTTTCATGGCAAAGATACTGGAGTGGTTTGCCATTTCCTTCTCCAGTGGGTCCCATTTTGTCAGAACTCTCTGCTATGATCTGTCCGTCTTGGGTGGCGCTGCACGGCATAGCTCATAGCTTCATTGAGTGACGCAAGCCCCTTCGCCACGACAAGGCAGTAATCCATGAAGGAGGCCTTATGTAGACTTGCTTAGTTTATTCATCATAGTTTAACCATGGTTTATTGGATATGCCACTATTGACCTGCACAGTATACTATGGCAAAATTAAGCAAGCTGTGCTAGGGATTGGCCAGCTGACTATTTTGAAAAATAATAGTAATAATAACAATTTATTACACTTTTATTGTATATTGCCTACTTCAGAAAGAGCCTTAATAAGAACAAACAGAAAAGATTTGCTAATATATATTAAACCCTTACCTTTGTCATCCCCATTCTATTTTTAATTATACTGTCATTCTTCTTTTCAACACTGGTGTTCTATATTACAGGTATAATTAATTCTTCCCTAAAGCAGAAACACTTGATTCTAGCAGTGTCATCCAGAAAGAGAGAAAATGATGTACAGTACTTACATCCTGTGCTGGATGACAAGTCACTAACAATGTCCTGCTTGTGTTCTTGCTCGAGTCAGCAAGCCAGTCTTCTTTCCTTGTTTATTTAACTATTTTCCACTCCACACCTTAGACCTTATCTGCTCTAATGATTTTTCTCAAGAGACAAATATGGAGAAATCAAATAGTATCTCGCCCAGCCCAATTTTTTATTTACTTACTTACTCACCTATTAAATTTAAATGCTGCCCATGTCAAACAATTCAGGGCAGCAAATGCTCTAGAATGTAAAGAAGATTTTCAAAATGCCACAGCAACTTGTTATTAACATTGTAATAGAACTGCCATATTTCTTGCCTCTTTTCTGTTTCCCCAGCCCTTCCTGGTATCAAAACAGCATGGTTCAGCTTTCCTTTATGTATTTTGACCTTTGGTCAAATTGAATTGAAGTTGTAACAAAGCTGGTGAAGTTAGTCTAAACGTGGCACCTTGCAAAGTCAGATAAGAAAAACATTTTTCTCCCCCTCCTGCTTCCAAATCAATGCTTTTGAACATTGAGCAATTCAAGAATGCAAATAGAACCATGGATGCCAAAGGAAAATGCAGATTAGCATAACCAGATGATTATCCTGTATGGAGAATTTGGTCAGGTAGTGGGACAATGGAAGAAGTTGCTGAGGAAATACAACACAGGAATTGACACTTTAGTCTTGTGCAAATCTCCAAGACCAAAGATCGACAAATGATAAAAATAGAGCTTGCCAAGTAAAATCACACCAGCTACACTTCGGTTAAAGCTAGGCTGGTAAACCACCAGCATCCTTCTTCAGGGCTTCCACTGCCTGAGCTTGGGCAAGTCATCCTTCAGGAAGAGCCAAAAGAGAGCCAAAAGTTCCCATCTCTGAATTAAGACCGATCTAAACCCACCTGACAGGATTTCTAGATGTAATTAAGGAAGGGAGAAAAATTCATTGCACTTCCAAAAATAATATATGAACTAAAACATAATTATATT